ATACCGACCCTACCCCTGATCCACGACGCGTAAGCAACTAACGACGACGCTTTGGTGGATTCTTGTTTTCTTCCTTTTTTTCTGTTCGTTTATATGCCACTCGTGCTGTGTCGGTGGTTGGCATCTTTCCCGTGTCGACGATCGGCGACAATCACCAACGACGAATATATCTAAATGTATATATGTACCATACATATCATGGCTATATACATATATACTGTCTGTCTGTGTGTGTGGTGCGTGTAACTCTCTCCCCACTCTCTATATATATTTCTTTCTATATACTTATATATATATATATATATACATATATTATATACATATATACCTGTAACCGCTCTCTCTCTCTGTCATTTGTCGAAACATGGGTGTGCTAATTGTGCCTCTGTCCGTGAACTGCTCTGTTTACTCATACTACTAACCTTGCGTACTAACCTATGCTATCGATACTCTTAACTTACGGATCGCTGGTGTAATCTGTGACTGACTGTGTGTATCGCATCGATGTGTAAAAAAAAAATAACACACACACATACTCGCGACACGCGCGTACGGCCGTGCGTGGCGCCGCGTTTACGCGCGCCGTTCGCTCGTTCGCCGTCGTAATGCGGCCAACGTGTCGCCGACGCCGACGCCCGGGGATCTGCTGGCACTCTCCTGCGCCGGGGGCCGCTTCTCTATCTACTCGCCGGCTATGTGTACATAAATGTAACTCCGGACGCACCCCATTTCCCCGAGGTTGTCCCCTCGACGAGCGACCTGATCCCACCTGGACTCTCATCCGCTCTCCTTTCAACCCTTTCCCCCTTTCTCTCTCTCTCTCTCTCCCCCCTCGAGTCCCGTCCCTACCGGTTCCTCGTGCGGTATGGCAGGGTGAAATGGTGGACTGCATTGAGTACTGCGTCAATCAGACCAGCGACCACGTGGACCAGGCACGGGGCGAGCTGCTCAAAGCCGAAGAGTATCAGACCAAGTCTCGTAAGGTAAAGGAAATCAGACACCAAAACGCGCAACCGGACCGTCGCCGAGACTCGCACGAGATTCCCCGCTTTCCGGTGTCCGTCCACGGCGTGTTATGTTGCGCAAAGAACGAGGATTCCTCCGCCGAAGGGGCCCTTTGGAGGACTTCGGGTGGAAAAGGATATCTCTCGCAAGTCTCGGGTCGGTCTGGTCGATATGAACGCTGCTAGATCGCGCGATTACGCTTGCGGAAAGTTGCTCCTCTCTCTTTTTTCTGACTCTTTATTTCCTGTTTTTTTTTTTCTTTTGTTAACGGGAACGGAAGATTTATTTTTCCCTCGACTCTCCGTCGGAAACGTTAGCCTCGAGGGAGGAACGCGTTTCGCGCGGGCATCGCGAATTCTCGAGTTGCGTCGAGTAAAATAATAATTCAGTTGGAATCTCTCTTTCTCTCTCTTTCTCTCTCTCTCCCTCTCTCTCTCTCTTTTTATTCAAGAGAGAGAGAGAGAGAGGTAGAGCGCGAGAGCTCGCGCGATCTTTCCGAGTTGACTCAGAGGATTTACCAAATGCCTCTTCGAAGCACGAGCTGCGATAAGGAAGGAAGCTTTGCCCGGTGGCGTTTTCATCAAAAGACGACATCACGAATGAATGAAGCCCCGGATAGAGCAAAAAGGAATAAGTGCCTATTCAACGGGCTTCGGGATTCATTTGAAGTTTTATCAAGCGCAACGGCGTACTTCAAAACATTATCGCGGAATAACATTCTTCTCGCATTGTTATCATTTTCCCTTTCCGGCCACGTTCAACGTAGAATTTCGACCACCACCTGCATTGTGCGTCGTTTCCACTCGGATTCGCTTCAATCGGAGACTCGCTCCGGGTGTTTCGCGCCAAATAAATGTTAAGGGTAGCGAAGCTTATCGAGGCGACCTGGAAATACCTGCCCGGAGGGTGTAGATTTTCGCGGGAGAACAGACTGAAGATCCCCTCCGACTGCAAGAGACGAGGGGAGGGGAATCGGTACTGTGATTTTTTTTTCTTATTTTTCCACGGATTTTTTTTTTAACACTAAAAAAAGAATTGAGATACAGGGTTGGCTCAACGTGGACGAGAGATTCCTCGCTTACGTCGAAAGTCTGACAGAATATCAGGCACGTGCGTCATCACACTGTCGAGCGTGTTTATCCTTCCATAATTAAAAATATATTCGCACTTGACAACCGTGCTTGGCTCTTACCTATTCCAATTTCTAACATTTGGTTCTATATCACGAGACCCTAATACAATATAACCGGTTTTATTTTCCTTACCTTCTTTACGGTAAAAAGTAAATGCGGAAAGTTTTAACCGAACATATGTGAATTTTTCTAAATGAATTTTCGTAACCTCCGGACAGAAACCGAAGAAATTCGCAGAAAAATGAAAAAAAAACGTTTTTCTTTCCGAAACTTTGAAATTAAGAAATCGAGCGATTTTTCAATTTCAAAGCTACAAATCGGATCTCGGAAAAGTATCCGGATATCGCCCTCGAGATTCGCAGAGATTCTTTCTTGCTCCCGGAGCAACATCTTTCGTCTCTGGTTACCACGTGCGATCAGGCACCTCGTATCGAGTGGGATCCCTGATCCTCGTTTCTCGTGATTGACCTTTCAGTCCTGTGTGTATCTAGAACGTACCGCAATAGTCGTCGCACTCGTGCTAATGTGTCATTGTGTCACGACCGACGATCGAGTAAATGATCGTGGGCACGCGAAGTCCGTCGTGGGATCGTGGGTAAAGGAGACGGAGACGCGATCGATGTCGATAGTGTGTAGAGCATTCGACGTAGACGAATGTGCCGTGTTTTATAGACTAGCACAGGCACGATGTAATGAAGTAGAATAGCGGACCAGAACGCGTTGTTGTGGTCGGGTAGAGCGGTTTGGTGTTTGTGATTAACCGATTTGTGAACGCACCCGCATTTTAGTGGTATGAGGAATGTGCTTGATTGTCTGACAATGAATTCACCACTCCCTCCCCGAAAAAATTGTCTGTTGTAGTCTGTAACTCACTACGTAGTAACGATCGTTTTCTTTTTTTTCTCTCTCATTAACGCAACGCACGTTTCCGCACGAGCAATTCGGGCTGTGTGAGAGTTCGCAAAAAAATCTGCGCGATTGCCTCGACCGTGAAACTCTCTCTCTCTCTCTCTCGAACGTTTAAATTCGTCCTCTGTGTTTATTTTCCTTTCAGCTTATTAGATCGATTTGAATCCGCGGATTTTCCGATCGCGAATTCGCTCGCGAACACGTTTGCTCACTCATTCGCTTTCAGTCTCATTCTAATTCAATTTTTGTCACTAATCACGATTTTTTCTCCGTTTTTTTTTTCTCTGTCTCTCTCTTTCGTTCTGCTTCATTTTTATCGCCAGAGTATTCTTGCTTATATTCCTCAGTTAATCTCGAGAGAATCTCATTTCCCGAGAGATTGTTTTACAAAGGAGAAACGTTTTTAACGCACGTCGAGGCAATTTTCCTTTTTATCACCCTCTTTTCTTTCCGACGAAAATGCGTCACTTGTGCATTACAACGACACATAAAATCAGCATGAACGAACACACGCATACATCATGCGCAGCACGCCTCCCACACGCTTTTCCCATCGCATCTTTCTCCCATGAGCTTTCGAGTTTCGATTTCCTATTCACTGCACTCACATACACCCACGTAAAGTCTCTCCGATTTTTACCTCTTTCTCGTCACCGAAAATACATATTTTTCTCTTTCATGGTCTTTTTTTTCTGCCTTCCCGATTTCCCGAAGGTACGTACGTATGTTCACTCTTTCTCTCACAGGCACGCCCTGCAACAGCATACTCGACACAATTCACCCTATTTTTCTCTATTTTTCTCTCTCTTTTTCTCTGTCACTGTAATTCTTAAGCCTCGCCTCCACGCGCGGCATCCTCGTCGACGAAGCGCGCGTACGTGTCTTACACGTGGTTCCCTCTCTGTTTTCTGTCCACAGAAAATGATCTTCATCACGGTCTGCGTCGTAATATCGGTGGTTGTACTAATCTCCATAATAGTAGGGCTCCTCCCGAGATCCTCCTAACCGGCCAACGGGGGTTTTGTTGTGACGGAAGGGGCGGGTGAGGGCGGGGGCGATAGAGAGAAATGAAAATGTCGATGTCGTGGAGAAGACAGAGGGAGAACGTGTGCAACGGCATCGAGAGAAATGTCATAATAATAATAATAATAATAATAATAATAATAATAATAACAACAGCAACAACTCTACAACAACAATAATAATAATAATGAAGCGATAATAATAACGCAGAAACTTCTAGTCGCGATCAGCTCGGGGAAAAAAGACGCGCGGGCTCGGATGTGCAGTGTGATCAGAAGTTCCGTCGGGACGCACGTGGGAGTGTGGTGGCGGTTGCCTACTGAGAGCCCTGTGAAAATCCTTACTAAAACAGTCTCGCACGTGCAACTAACCCAAGGAGAGAAAAGAAAGGGATAAGAATGAATGAATGGTGTGATGCAACTAATACAACGGCTATTCCGCGTCGATCCTAATAATAGACACGTATATACACACCACATATACATGCATACACGTCTCTGTAATCTTCGAGACAATCCTCTTCCGACTAATCTACGTAACGTATCCACTAATTAACGCGATAACCCGCATTCATCCGCTCACTCGCTTCGTACGGAGTAAGTACACTTCATCATACCGCTCGACGTTCCTCCGGATCGTGTCTTGGAGTAGAGTCGTGTAACGTCACAATCAATCGCGCGAGCCTCGACCGCGATCCCCGCGGTCTCGCCGTGTATACGAGAGAGCCCTGTCTCATCAGTTTTTACCCGCGCAATCGATAACCGTGCTTGTTGTAATTAACCGCAGGGAGCTGTGAGACGCGGCCGCGACCCGCTTTCCGGAGGAAATTCGACGTCGATTAGACCGCGCTCGGTGATCATTTTATCGTACACCTCGACACGCCGCGTACCATTCGCCATCTTTCGTTTCTTTTTATTATCGCGAAGTCGCGAGATTTCCGCAGGCTTCGAGTTCCACGCGAAATTACTCGGCTAATTCTTGTCCCAACCTTTTACCCGCATTTTATTCCATTCATTTATGGTCAATTAAGCCATTGATTATGCCACGTACGCACGGGAAAAATGAGCTCTTGCGATGAAAAATTAAGCCCTGAGATAAAAATTAGCTGTCTATGTAACATAACTGAGATTTAGTTGGTTTAACTAATTTTACGTCCCTGTACCTAATTTCTAGTTCTCACTGCTAAAAATTAGGTCCGGTGACTAAATCTCAGCTAATTCCTTTCTCCCGTGAAGGTTGCCTGAGCTTTGATTCGTCATTCATCTTGAACGCTCATACGGAAGTCTCGCGATTTCGATCGAATCGCGAACCCAATGTTCTGTTTCGTTTCTTCCTTCAGTTTCTTCGCACAGTCACGGATTTGTTTTATTTTGCAGAAATTGTTCCTGATAGCGATCTGCGTCACGATATTGGTCATCATTCTGATTATTATTTTGGTAGTTAGTTTAAAATAAAATAAGCGCGCGCGCGTGCATGCGCGTTTACGCCGGAAAACGAACACACAAACATTCTCAGAGTATAAGAATTAACGGAACCGCGAAAGAAAAATCGAGGCAAGACAAGCAGGCGCGAACGAGCCGGGATTGAGACGAGAAGAGATACACCCACCTCCTTCGATCTCCTCCCGTCGAAGGACGATCAGCGAGGATCGCGACGGAGGTCAACGAATGGAGATCGCGCGCGATCTTCTCCGATCTCTCCCGGGAAGTCCCGACGAAGAAGCGAAAGAAAAGCGCGCGATTACGTAAACCGCGGGTCCTAGCTAGCTGTCGAGATATATCGCCGGTACCTCCGTGAGTGTCGCGTTACACCTATTTATTATTAATGGTTAATAAATTTTATGCAACTTTTATTTATTATTGCTTCTCGTAACACACATACATGCGTACACACGCCGTCGCTCGGCCGCGGAGTGTCGCGCGTCCGGACATCTCCGCGACAGTTATTAATTAAATATTCGAATCCGCTCGCGCGGACGCGCGTCGTAACTTCACAGCAGCCTCGAGGGAGTTCTTTCCGTTGTCCGCCGCGATATGTTGGAAAATGCGCGCGATTGTCATTCAACGCCTCTTGCCGCCGTATCGTTCATTACGGCAACAAGAGGGTGGGGATATATTTTCCCGGCGTGAGAAAGAAAGGGAGAAAGTGCCGGCCGCGATCGCTCGCTCGGCCGCGCGGTGAAACACGAGAGACCCGGCTGATGTCGCAAGTGAAATCTGCAAATCGGCGAGTCGGAAGGAGGAAGGAAGAGATTTCCCCCAATCCGAAAACGGTGTTTTCTCTTCGGCGCGCCAAACGAGTCGATGCGCCGTAGCTTTTTCTCGTATTCGCGTACACACAACACACAACCGCTCGCCCACACCACTGCCTTTTGTTATTTCGCCCCCTATTATTTTTGGCACTTCACCGTTCCTGGTTTTACCACCGCAGGGCGAAAAACGAAAAACACAGCGACCGGTTACACCGCGCTCGACGACGGCACGCGGGGGGACCGAAGACCTGCGCCCTTCGTCGAAACGAGTTTCCGGGCGGTGTTCACCGCCCACGAATCGAGCGCGAAACACGTCTCGGCGGCTATTCGAGAACGCGGGTCACGACAGCGAGAACGAATTTCGGTTCTCACACCCGTCTGTGTGTTCGTCGCACGTCGATAATCGGTCCCGCCGCCGTGTGCATCGTCGGCATTCGCGACGAAGAAAGGAGCCGGTAGCCTCCCCGGCGAATGAGCGACGTAACCGCGCGAGCTAGAGACCCTTCCGGATTCGGAGAGATCGATCGATCGCACGTGTTCGCGCGAACAGGGGCGAGCGGTCGGCCGGCCTTCTCTAGCCTAGTCAGCGCGCTTTAGTTCTCTCTCTAGGCTGACGCGAGGCTTTCGCCCTTGGCGCGACACGGACGCATCTCGCGAGGCACACACGCTCTAATGAACAAATATCGATTCGCCCGACGAGCTCTAATCGCCGTCGCAGTGCAGACCGCGCGCGCGCACTGTACGTGTAAATAAAATCGCACTTTGTATAGAGCGGATGATGATAACGAGGGGAAATGAGGAGGGCTTGCGATAATGAGGAGAAATGGGGAAGAGAAGAGTGAGAGAGAGAGAGAGAGAGAGAGAGCGAGAGAAAGAGAATAAGAATATTAATCGTTAAGAGTCAGTAGGAATTTTCTTCTCTTCGGATGTTATCCAGCGTAAAACAGCTCTTAGACAGAGGAGGACGTCGCCCGTCGTCCTCTTTTCTCCGTCACGTTTGTTGTACTTGCCGCCCCCTCGCCGAAAAAACACAAATAATAGAAAAGAATAGAAACTATAAAAGTAATAATTGTGTTCGTCGATGATGGACCACGCGCGATCAAGAAAAGAACGAAGAACAATCGAACGATGGTTGTGATCGACGCCGAGATGATCGAACGAGAACCGCCGAAACAAGAGGGGGACGGGGGGGGCGCCGATTCGCGAATTTGCGCGCCAGGTGTAAATTGGCGAAACTCTGGCGGAGTTATCAAGTTTGCCACGGGGAAACGGAAGGTGAGAGAAAGACGGGATGGAGGAAACTAGGAACGCGCCGGAGGTCGGGGCTTGCGATCACTCAGGCCTGATGGAATAAGGAGGAGGAAGCCCAAGGAGGAAAGAAAAACGGACCCGCCGACGGCGAGAGGATAACGTGCAGGTCAGTATCGCCGACATTCCCGTCTCACGCTAATCCTTGGCTCCCGCCTTTACCTGGTCCTTCCCTCCTTAAGGGAAGAAGCAGATTCTGAAACGATTTGTACGTCAGCGAGTGTTTCTGAGGACTGACTGCACCAACGCGTCGAGATTGATCGAATTGATCGATTAATCGTACTTCTCTCTTCCTGGACGAAGGAGAACTCACGCGAGTACAGTACAGTACGAGTTAGAAACTAAGGGTAGTACTATTCGATATATTCAAAGCTTCGAAACTTCGGCGTATAATTCGACGACGAAGCTCGAAGTTTCGAACTCTATTCGAAGATTCGAAATATCGGAGCTGTTGGTGGGATTAATTTTGCAGAGTGCAACAAAATGGTGTGCAATTAGAGAACAGGGTAGACCGGGACAAGTTGGGTGATCCATTATCTTTAGTTCAATTCGGAAATTTGTATTTGTCCAGTTTAAGATAAAGTGGATGAAAAAGGCACGAATAATAAAACAACGAATCTCATTAACTTTATTTTAAAATAAATGCAAGTTTCGCTATGATATGTTACTGCATATCGCAATGTAAGAAAAAATTACATTCTCTACAGGATCATTCCTGGAAACGATACACGTACTTTTCAATTCTTGAAGTTTCGAATATCCGAGTGTTCACACTTCAAAATTTCATCATAGGAATACAACGCGTTCGAAAGTTCAGAAATGCGAAGCTTCGAATATAACTTCCAGCCCCGTTAGAAACGCGCGTCCACTGCTCAATTGTCCGCTTTCAATTAGCCGAAACCGGGGTGGCGCTCGTGAGACTTCTGCCCAGGAAGGAAAACGTGAAAAGTTTCGTGAAAAGTTCCGCGTTACCATTGCCGGAAAATTTACATGATCGCTGGAATCGTCGAGTTCACGAGGAAAGTTTTCGCGTTTCCATTGCCGGGGAAAAAATTGCGCGATCGCTGCTACCCGGTATCTAATCCGGAGCGTCGGTGCAATTCAGTTCTCCGGGCAACTCGCGAGCTCGTCCGTCGAGAACGTCATCTCGATCGTGCAGACGCAATTTCCACGTTGCGCGCATGCAGACATGCAGCCGAGGCGCACTACACTGACGCGTAATTTCTTACGCAGGCCCCGTCGCGACGTCGCGCGTCGCCTGCCACCCCCGGTGTGCCGGCAACAAGCAAGATCCGATTTCTTTCAGGTTCCCACTCGGCACGGTAGCTCGATTATAATAAGTAAATGTTTGTAATGTAGCGTAATCGTTGCGGACAGAGGCGTCGCGATGTAGAGCGGTACAGATAGAGCGGGTAGTCGAGTTTGACGGACAGGGAACAGAAGGGCGGTAGAGGGTGAGAGTGACGGAGAGTAAGAGTGTGATAGAGAGAGAGAGAGAGAGAAAGAGAGGAGGAGGAGAGATGTAGATGAATTAGATAGAGATAGGTAGACGAGAGAGGATAGAGTTTAGGGGAGAGCGTTGCGAGAGCGAGAGGTATATATGTATATAGAGAGGAATGAAAGAAACGGGAGAGGGAGAACGCTTTGTAATCGATTGTATTAAACACTTTTACCGGTCTGTTAATGCCGAGTGCAGAAGAAGATCATGATCATGATTTGCCTCACCATACTGGGCATCGTCGTCGCCACCACCATCGGTGGATACTTCGGACTGTGAACGCCAAAACCAGGTACGTGTGCGAGCGTAAAAGCTCACGTTTCACATCTAATCGGGTTACCTGCCGGCGAAAGCGCGCGTCCACGGGTTCTGATAAGAGTACGTCGCGCACCGGAGCGATCGCTTCGTTAACTCGTTGCGGTCTAACGAGTCCCGCCGCGATTGCAATCCGCTCGTCACCGGGTGAAATAACGCGGTAGTATCATGTGTGTGTGTGTGTGTCTTTCTCAAGTGCCACCGGAAGAGGGTCGAAGGGCCGAAATTTCCACTGAAAACGCGTGTCTCGCGCGCATAATCGTCGTTAGCGTAATAACGCCGAGGGTGTAAAACGTGCGAACGTGAACGAGGTCGCGCGTATTCGCGAGTGATAACGCCGAGGGTGGATTGTTACCGCCGAGAATCCTCCCCGGCATTTGCATCGCATTCGCATGTTGAATTCCTAGGGCGTTCCGAATTCGAAAGTGTTCCGTCGAACGGACCATTCGTCGAATCGATATTTCGTCAAACGGGTAATCCTCCGCCAAGCGGACTCTTAGCGGCTGCAATTATAATAGTATCAGCGGTAATGATGAACGAATCGAGGAGAATCCGGAAAATGCGCTCGCACGTTAACTCCCGGTGCGCCATTTTATATATGGTAATGGCATGATAAAACGAGTTTTATCCCATCGGAAGAAAAGCGTAAGTTTTCTCTTCATCCTCTTGCGAGAGCTCTAATGAAGAATACAATTATAAAATACGAATTAGTCGGAACCGTTCCAAAAAGGATGGATCCTGCTGGCGCACCGAGAGTTAAACGATAAAATAATCACGAGGATCTTGTTTTTTTTTTTATCCTCTCGAGGGGTATTTATTCGAAATTCCCGTTCACTCGATCGGACGGAATGTCCCCACGTCGACGAACGGCCCGTCGGTTCTGCCACTGCACGCACTCGGACGATCTTTCTTTGTTCAGAGAAGTCCAAAGACATCAGTATCGTGTACCTAATTCCAAACCGCCGGCAGTATCAGCATTCACTCATATCGCCCCGATACGTGAAGCTGATCGCCGTACAGACGAGAGGATATCACTGTCGAAGATGCCACCGGCGCGCTTTTACCATAACACCCCCGTCATCGCTAGAGCCTGCAGTCTATCACGCGCGCTTCCCAGCTCGACGCGAGAGAAACTTGCGAGAGGAGGAATCGGCATCATCGTCGTCGTCATCGTTGACGTCGTCACCGACGTCGTCCTCGTCGTCGTCTTCAACTTCGTCGTCTTCGTCGTCGTCGTCGTTATGTTCGCGCCATCCTCGTGGAAAGTCTCCTCCGGTATCTAGGCTAGCGTTAGTTGCGTTCGGCTCGACGTATAAGTAGAGGGGAAAGGAAGAGGGAGAGAAAAACAAGAACAAGCATCCCCCTCGTTCTTTTGTAATTAACCGCAGCTCGATCGCGGCAATTATCTCCCCGATAGATCCGCCTTCGTTAGCCAGTCCCAGCCTCGATCCTCCTCCCGCTCTCTCTTGCCACTCACCCCTCCCTCCTCCCACGTCAACGCGAAGCTTAAACCGTAAGCTCTCTTTGTGCGTGCGTCCTCTCGTCGCTTCTTCTCTCTCCTTTCTCTTCCCACCCCGTCCGCACCTCCTGTGGTTCACGCGGCGAAAACTAGGCAAAACAACGGGGACGACGTGTGCGAGGAGAATCTCGCGAGCGGGACGAGCTGGGAAAACGAGAAAACGTCTTCGCGCGGAACGCGGCTAAAACTGTCAGTCGGAGATCGAGCAACGTCTCCGATCGGCGCATCGGACGCAACGCGTCGTCCTATCGACAGGACGGCCATCGACACGAGGACACTGCCGGTGTTTCCCCCATCAACCTCTCCCCCGTCACCTCATCCTCCCTCTCCTTCAGCCCCGCGTGCCCGTGCGAATGTCACCAAGGACGCGTCGTGCACCATCGTCGAATGAGCTCGACGAGACGCGTGTCTCGCCGGAGAAACCGCGACGGTCCGCGATACGCGCCCCCTCCCGGGCTGGTGTTACCCATCACCCTCTCCGCCCCCTCGAACCCCCCCCCCATGAGCCGCACGAGCCTGATGACCCAATGGTGCTTTTCTGTGTAACGCGAAGGCGATCAGGAGAGCAGCGGGCCTGCGTTTACCACAGCAGCCGCCTTCTTGCCGAAAGTAACGACGCGCACCACGGTGCCGTCGCTCGAGCCGGGTTTCTTTGACTGTGATTTGCACACCGAGCTTGCTTCGGACGAGTCGCGCTTCCCAGTCACATTCTGAAAATCCGCGCTGAAAGTCCGCGCCGAGCCCGAGTCGCGCGCGATCTCGCTCCGGTCGTCTTGTTTGATACATGTACACGCGCGAGAGAGAGAGAGAGAGAGAGAGGTTAGACGCGAAAGATTAAACGCTAAATCCGAACACGCTGAATTCGCGACACATACGTACACACCCACACGTGCACCCGCACGCATACTACACGTATACACACACACACGCGCGCGCGCGAAACGTCAGATCCGTAATCCGCGCTGGAGCAACAGGAGACGCGAGCGCGCGACACATCGCTGAATTAACAATACTAATTAGCACTAGCGCTCGCGGTAATTGTAATAAGCGAGATTTCCACTTTGGCACACGCGCGGAGAACGTCCCGTGAACACTCTTTCGTAAAAAAAATTCGAGGAAAGTCTAGGTAACTTAGCGGGTAGACCGTTGGCGTGTGTGAACGCCGCAGGCCCGTTCTTTTCGGCTGAAGGTTGCCGGCTCGCACTTTTTGTCACTCGCGAGAAACAAGTGTGTAAATCTGGCGATGAAAAGAAGAGGAACGAAGCAGTTCCGGTGCGGCGCTGATTCAGCTGTAAAAAGGACAGGTCTCGCGCGTTACTTGAGACGGGAATCAATGCGCCGATCGGGCAACACCCCCCCCGCTGATCCAACCGCTCTGCGAGTCCACTTCGTGGCGCGCTGAGATCTCCCAGCGGTTTACCCTTCGGCTATACATATCACGCGACCTCGAGAGTAACGTTTTCGACACACACCTCCAAATACACCTCTCTGTATCCGGACGTTCGTGACGGAATCTCGGCTGGATGAGAGGGAGAGAGAGAGAGAGAGGGAGAGGGAGGTTTTCCTTCGACGGAGTTTCGAAGTCGCCGGTTGACTAATTAATACTGATTAATGCCGGGCCGTGAGACTGTAAATTTCTCGGGGTGGGATCTCGCTGGGAACGAGCGGAATTTCATTCGAAGGACCTCAGAGGGAGGACGTCTCGATCACGGCCGTGCAGCATTGTGGCTGTTCTCGTGGCTCGTGAAGTGACTTTCTTTCTCTCTCTCTCTTTCTCTCTCTCTCTCTCTCTCTCTCTCTCTCTTTCCGCGGAAAAGCGGCGAAAAAGCACTCGATACTCTTGTACAGTTAGATCGGAGGTCCTAGCTTTGTGTAATATTAATTGATATCGATCACGCAGGCTTATACATTACGACTAGATTTTCCACCGTTATCCGCAGCCTATTTATCACCTAATAAGGACGAGGAATTGCTGAGCGGATTTAGTCAAATAATGCCGTGTCGGTGTAACCGAGTTCTCGGAGTTACTTGATTAATTTACGACGCGATAAAGGCATCGACGTCAGAGCGATGCGACTTTTATAACGGGTACTTTGATTAGCGAAAAGTGTTACACACATGAACACACCCACACATACACACATACACCATATTCACACACACGGACATGTATACACATACACACACATACGCTCTGTATCTCGTTCGTTGTGTGATCATCGTAGCTCACTCGGAGAAGGTGTTACGACCAATAGGTGTTCAGTGAAAGGAACAATCAATTCTTCCGATATTTCTATTTAGCTGTAATTAGCAGAATTAATTGCGATATAGCGAGGTGTAGACAAAGAAGCAATCGTGTCTCCGCGCAGACACGGCCAGAATCTTCTTCCGCGTTGTTCGCGTCGCGCGCGCGACATTTTTGGAATGTGACCGAGAGAGGCGATGAGACGAATGTTCAACAAGCACGTCACAAATTTAGAGTATAGATTTAATTGTACGTACGATATACGCGCGGTGTTACGCAATTAGGTTCTCGTATCTTGCTTTTCGTGCGTTTTTCCATATTCTCTTCACGCGAGATGCTTTCACCGGGAGGTCGATAGGTTTTAACGTCTTCAATTTCGTGTTGCACAAAACGCCATTAGGTATTGGGTATGACTAACAATAACGGAACCTCAACCGCGATTTTCGCCTTGGACGACAGTTGTTCTGCGTCTTCTGTAATCTCGACGAACCCTCATAAAGAGCCGAAGTAGCGATCCTTACGTTGTGCCTCTTCGAAGCGTTTTCGCCCCACAGGTATGACAATTTTCCAGTACTTCGCTCGTTTCTTTGCCGTTTGATCGGGCCCCTGTATTATTTGCGAATTCGTGACCGAAATTATCCTGTTGCGATCTCACTTTTCCGTTACTTTCGTCACTTTTCTCTCCAGTTTAGCGCGTGAATCCGAAAGCCGTTGTTGTTGTCGCGTCCATCTAAGTAACTTCGAATCGCCCTTTGGTGCTTCTGTCGCGAATTTCTACCAAATTTCTTTTCCTTTTCAATCCGCCATTAACACGAGGGTTCTCGAAAATCTCGAGTATGCGAAAGGTGCACCACCTTCGAAACGGTTAACCCCAACAACGTGAACAAAGGAAAAGAGGGCATGATAAAAAGAGCAACATAGTACGAGAGAAAGCGTGAAAGTGAGGGAGAAAATGCGAATGCGTGTGAGTGTGTGTGCGTCTGTGCGTGAGAAACAGAAAAACAGCTATTAAAAGCTGCAGCAATAATATAAATATATATATAGGTGTTACGAAAAAAAAAAAATAATTAAAGGTAATCCCATTGGCGGCGAGCAAGAATGAGATAAATGTGAATGACATTGTATGTACACGGGCATGTATACATATACATATTTAAAAAAATATGTATGTATACACATATATATATATACATGCATATATATGTATATATACATATAGGTAGATAGGTAGGTGGCATGTGGTCGAGGAGAGAATAATAATATTAATAACGACAATTATTATATCGGCAGCGCCTATATTGCTCCTCGACAGATTGAATAACCTGTATCGGGACAGAGTGCTGGCGGCGTTATATAATGTTAATGTTTTGTTGAGTATATATATATTATATTATTACGAACGTTGAGGTGCATACACATTCAGAAAATTATGGGTTAATGTTTAAGAAAGGAGAGAAGTAAGAGGCGAGGAGAGAAAGAGAAAGAGAGAGAGAGAAAGAGAGGGAGACAGACAAATGATACAACGGCGAACGATTACGATTTACGCATCACACCGCAGCGTGCGTTGCTGTAATGATTAATATTAAAATAATAATAATAATAACGATGACTAAAAGTATATATATATACATATATATATGCATATACATATACATATTAAGAGATCACCTTGCATTGTACAGAAAGCATAATAATTGTTAGTTTAGGTAGAACGAACATTACGATCTACTAATCTGATTATCCAATACAACTAAGATGGTTAAGATTTTGAACGCGTAATCTCCCCCTCTGTCACACACGAGTTACGAGTCGACGGTCGTCGAGATAGGGTATTATCCTCTGATTATATCCTGTTCTTATTACATCCGACTAATTAACGGATTTTTGTTGAGGAGAACGGTTTGCGCTTGTCGATAAGCATCGCGTTACCCGCGTTACTCGGCCGATGAAAAATGAAACGGACGAAAGGGGGAGAAAGAGCGGAGAAACTCTCTCGGCTATTCCCGGAGAAGACGGGGGATCTCATTCAGAGCCGCGACACGCACGTCGCATCTCCGTTCTCCCCCTCTCACCGTTTTTCATTCGCACTTTGATCGCAGATCTCGCCGATCGCACCGCGTGTAAAGGCCCGCGCGTTCGCCTTACTTTTATCCCGGACGACGCGCTACAACCGTCGATTTCCGCGCGCCGAACCCGCGGCGCACGAAGATGATCCGAAAACGCGAGCGCTCCCACGCGGAGATCCTCGACCGGCGCGGACCGCCATCCGCAACTGAACGCAATCGCGAATCTCGCCACTTAGCTTCTCGTAGCGGACTCTTCGTGGTAGGAATTGAGAAAAACCAGGTGTCGTCAATTTCTTATCACTAGATAACGAGAGAAAGGGAGGGAGAGAGAGAGAGAGAGAATGAATGAGTGAGAAAAAGGGAGGGAGAGAGAGAAATTGTAGACGAGTAATATTATAGTTTATTCGGTGCGCAGCAGCCTGTCGACCGTAAGTTAAACGAATCTGGCCTAAGATGTAGGGAACGTCGCGTCTCCTCGTTAACTACCGATCGATCGTTCGGTCGACCGGTCGATCTGTCCATCCGCCCGCGTCGTCGTTCGACGGGCGCGGCTGGACGTCCGGATGCGTCTCGGTCGTCTCTCTACCAATTGCTTCTGGATGTCTTTACGTCGCTTTCGAGCTCGCACGTTTCACTCTCCGGGTCTTTAGCTCTGTTTTTTTCTCCTTAGCGCGCTCACGATTTCGTCGTCGCATCGTCGCCACTTGTCATAAGACGCAAGGAAGCACATACATACATACACACACATATATACATAAATACACACAATGCCGGGCGGTTAAGAGACAAACGGTGAACTGCACATTCGGTCGCTCTGTCGCTCGTTAGGATCGCGTAACGGAGACATCGTCGGGTTTCAATACGCTCGTATTTTACGCGAAAGCGTCTCGTGTTTCCCTCGCGAGTGTCTCTAACTCTTAGGTAGCTAATTGCGGAAGCTGACCCGTCTTCCTTGAAAATCCGTGTTCTCCTCGGCTCGAGCGCGCGCTGCTCTTTTTTCCAAAGCGACCCGTCAGCAAACGGTGCTTACCGAAGAAAGAGGGGGGGAAAAATGCGAGGGAAAAGCGCGGCGATCGCGTCGAGCGACGAGAACTATAAACAGAAACATAATAAAGTGAATGAAACAAAGGCCGAACACACAATATTCCTGTGTTCTCGATATATCGTATATTTATGCGCCGCGATTAGCCGGAATATATCTCGCGGGAGTTCGAATAACGAGGCGGGGTGAGAAGGAGAGAAATAAAAAAAGAAGAAGGAGGGACATCGTTAATCACTAAATTGAATACGCTATTCCATTGCATTTGTACGTAGAGTAGGATAGAAAGATCGCGCTACGGATCGATCTGCATAGGGATCTCTTCGGACACGCGATCCGGTTTTCGGATATGTATAAATAAGTTATAAAGATACACGCGAATGTGAAGAAGGGAGGAAATGGAAGCATGCGATGGAGAGAGAGAGAGAGGGATAAAGAGATAGAGAAACATGCGCGATCACGTGCGCAAACCGCGTGGATCGGTGTAATGTCGGTGCAATTATTAATACGAGAGGCTACTCCAATAACCTTATGAGTGTCAATTCCACTTTTAAGTGTAAATCGTAATTTCGTGAGAGTTTTAAGAGAAAAGAATTAGTAGGAGAAAGGGAGGGAGAGAGGAAGGTAGGAAGGGATATGATGTGGCGTTAAACGACGAAAGGTGAGGAGAGAGAAATCTCAAGTGGTTTAACATAAAGAAAAAAAAAATAAGGATCGCGAATCCCGCCGACGCGCGACAAAGTGAGATTACTGATTAACTTAATTTACCGAAAAAATCGAGGAGTATATATAGGGAAGAAAAAAACCATTAGAGGAGAGAAGGGCGAGAGAGGGAGAGAAAGGGAGAGAGTGAGTGCGAGTGTGCGTCTGTTTGCATGCGAGAGAAAAATCGAGAAAGATGCGTTAAGCTGAAAAGAGAAAAAAAAAATCGAAAAAAAAAAGAGAAACTAAACCGTAGCACGTGCAAAACGTAACAGAGATAATGGATACTTTTTATCGTAGGTATTTCATAGGTGAGATTCATAAAAATAATAATAATGATAATAATTATTAAAAAAAAAAGAGATACCGCATTTAACGAATACGAGAGAGTACTTACTGAGGGAAAACTCCAAAAAAAAAAAAAGAATAATAAGAACATTCAACGGCGTTTTTCTCTGCCTATGCGTATTATTATCCGGCGTCTCGCGCCCACTTCTGCGTGTTGTCGTCGTCATCATCGTCGCCGTCGTCGTCGTCATGCGAGCGCTGTGTGCAATCCTCCGCGCGCGCGTGCGAGAAACTCGAATAATTGCCGGAGAGAGCCGGAAGACAAAACCGGAGAATAGCCGAGTGGTAAAACGGAGAGAGAGAAAAACAGCAGACGCGATGATTAACCAGGCATCCTTGCGTTCTTGTCTCTAACACGATTAACTACTATTACTATTACTATTACTACTACTACTACTACAACTATTACTATTATTATTATCATCATTGACACTGTACAAAGTTGGCAATAATCTTAAGAGGTCCCCCTTGAACACCCTCTCGTGTAATCGTTCGTTCGCTCGCTCGGGGACGAGCGAGGCGCAACGACTTCACCTCGTCGGCCCCGAACGAGCATCCCCTTTCGGTCCTGTAGCCAAGATAGCCCTACGAGTCGGAGTGAACGAGGCCGACGACACCCTAGGACAACGCGAACGTCCAGGAAACATGCGAGATAGACGTCTCGGAGACGTTCGATCCGCGAGTGACATGAACACCGCGCTCCCAGTTTCGTCTCACCGGGCGATATTGTCCAGCGAAAACGCGGAATAAAAACGGATAAACGGTGAATAGTGCAGCGGTAATTAAAGAGGAAACAATGAAGCGTGATGATCACGCCACGGAGAAGGATATGAATTAAATTAATTCGAGGCGGTCGTTGATCCCGTTGCGCAGCTCGACGGTTTCGCGCGATGTCCCGATTTCGCTGAACAACCACGCGTCGGGCTCTTCTCATGAGCAGCTTCGTCCAGCTTCATTTCGGTCCGACCTGGTGGAACGTTCGAATGTACATTTGAAATTACGCAGACGTTAATTATACACCTGCCACTTAGATTCGCAGAAAAATCTTTTTCCCGACTCGCGCGATGTCACTCGCGGACGCCCGCGATCTTCGTGCTCTCGACGCAGAAGGAACACACGTCGATTAACTTTGACTGTAATTTAAGTAATCGTCTGTCTGTTTCTCGCGCTGGGAACTAAAAATTAGAAGGGAACGAGGAATCGATTAAATTACGCTCAAAGTTAAACGGCGTTGGTGAGAGAGAGAGAGAGAGAGAGGCCGTGGACTCTCGCGTTGCTCGGGTGTGGTGACGATTAATTCTGCAAGTAGAGATAATATGTGATCAAGTGAATGTGCCCTTTCGTCGTGTAATCAAGCACAAAAGAAAAAAAAACCATCCCTCTCTATGAGCGTAGCAATAGGCCTCAAGTCAAGCGTCCGGCGGAGACGTCTCGGCTGCCTTCGAGGACGTCCCGTTTGCAGCGGCGATCTCGACTCGCTGGCTATGAGCGGGTAAAAGGAGGAAACTCGTCCTCTCCGTAGCTCTCGCGGAGTGCGATTTTCCCGACGCGAACAGCCCTCGGCCCGATCGGGACGAGCTTCCGCGTCGTTCCGGCTGCTCCCAGTACGGCCAGCGGGAGGAGATTTATCGCGAGACGTCGTCGTCGAACGCAGCCGGGGCTGTGCCGGCTCGCGTCACGAAGAGTGACAACGAGGAGAGGGAGAGTAAGGGAGAAGAGAAAACGCGTTTTCATCACGACCAACGAGACTCGGGGGCGGCGGCTCGCACCAGGAAGAGCAATCTCCGGCCTCGAGGTCGCGGCTCCAGAGCGGCGCGCTCTCAAACGATGCGAAAGCCCAAGAAAGAGAGAGAGAGAGAGAGAGAGAGAGAGAGAGTACTCGAAAAATGTGTAATATAGAAAAAAAAAATTCCTAAAGAGAAACATACTTTCGTGGGAAATTGACGCGGCGTGCGAAAGCGGTATGTGTAGCGCGGAGCGCACGACGATCCGAAGAGAATTGGTGTTCTATTCGAGGAATATCGGACATCCGCCGTGTCCAGACGTTTGATAAGTTATCTCACGACGTCTCGCGGACGTGTCGGTGTGCCGCTCGATATATATGTATCTCATTGCCGTGAAAGTCCCGATTCTTAGGCGGGAAACGACCTCCTGCTCCTTCCGGCGCGAACCGCAGGCATCCGCTCGTATCGCACTCAAGAAACATTGACGATGTAAGAATAACGATTCTCGAGACACCCATCCGCTCATCCGCGAAAACAACAAAGGAGAAAACACGAGAAAGAGCGAGAGAGAGAGAGAGAGAGAGAAGCCAAGCGCGCGTTCACTGTACAATTATATTCTTTTACGTTAACGACTTACGATTGAGTAGTCAGGTAGCATATTTTGCATTACCGATAACAAACAGTATAGCGTCACTTGTCTTAATCCTTAATTTTATATATCATTGGAGATAAGTATCCGCAAGAATAAAGATTATAATCAGCACTGCAGTGAAGTTACTATACATCTGTAGATAAGCGGTCCGCAAGGAGAATTTCAAAAAACCGACACGATGTTCAATGTATTTAATGATCTTCTCGAAGGGTGAAGAATATATGAAAATATATAGGAAAAAAAAACAAAAGGAAGGAGAAGTCGCCGGAGTTCTTGAATCCTCTCCCAACCTCCTCCGATCCTTCCTCATAGCGGACGCGGGAGTCGCGATCGGTTAAGAATGATAAGATCACTCGCTCTTGCACTCTCACGAATGATTTATTGTTGTACTCGATATTTTGCGAAAGACCACATATTATCGTAACACGCTACCGGTAGGGAACCGAGTCCACTCACGTTTACCGAAGTAGTTTTTTACAATTTATGTATAAATAATTGCTATGCTAATTAAACGTAACGTACAATCAACAAGAAGTGGCCGACGACTACATGTAATTCACAAAGAAATATATACACACATACACACGCAAATATAAACACAAATGCCTGAGGTGTAAATTTCGGAGAAATCGCGCCGTTAATCGCGCGCGTACGCCTAATATATCCCCGGGCAGAGGACCGAGTCCGTTGGATCTGTGACTACCTCGGACGGCCTCAGCAGCGCGTCTTTGAACTGGCCGTCCTCCGGAGTCTGCTCCGGGCCACGAAGAGCTCTCTCCCGTATAAACTTCATCACCACCGCGGGATTCACGTAAGACATAGTCAGCTTGCACCCCCAAGACAGAAGCGCCAAAGGCTGGAACAGCGAAGCGATTACCGTTATGTCCAAACTTGTGCGGGAATTAGCGCGAGATGAATTCCGAGATTCACACACACACACAGTACTCACATAGTCCTCGTCCAGATCGCTGCACGGCGTGATAACGTGCCGCCAAAGGCACCGGCCGACGAGCTCCCTCAGACGTTTTACCTCCAGCCGATTCGCGCACGGATGGTACAACATAACGATCGCTCCATGCTGTTAACAGTGGAATAATCAATACGGACGGTAGCTGAAACTTGCGTTTCCGATAAAACAGCGCGCGACCCGGTCTTACCTCGAGACTGTGCAGCCATCTCTGTTTGGGCAGGTACATGTATTCTCCGTAAACCGGCCATAAAGGCCTGTGGGGACCGCTGCGCAAGCCGCATATTAATATTATTAGAAACTACTCGTGACTGATGAGCAATTAGAAGGTATTATCTCTATTATATTCGTATACTTACTAAAGAGGCACATCATCATCGTACTCGATCGTTTCGTTCATACATCTGTGGGCGGCCTGCAAGGACACTTCGATCAAAATCCCTGCATGACGGATATGAAACGGTAGTGGTGTGAAATTGACGATAACAATGTGGACACTTTTACCTTGTATGCCTTTGGAATGTACTCGCAATAGATGCGTGGTCTCTTCTTACTCGGTATGATGTGATGACCGTAACAAGTTTGCGTTGACACGGAATGATCCCAATCAACGGTCAAGTTAGTCTGAAATCATGCTGCTGTTAAAACACAGTCCGCTTTTTAAATGAAGATAGCTCATTTAATTTCGTATCCTTTCAGCAATGAATTTGTGTGGAAAGCGACGATACCAACCATTGCGTCGTCACAGTCTGATGACGTGTGGCCCATGTCATGATGATTTTCCATCATGGATTTATGAGTTGCCTGTTCACTGTGTGGGTACACTTTGGGTGATGGTGTTGGATCGCCTAATCTGTCAGGCATCCAACGTCCAGTCCAATTCTCTGGGTCATCCTCAATGTCCCTGCGGTTCCCCCTGTCTGTATTGTCTTCCAAATACGTCCGGTATAGGTCGAATAGATTTAGTTTTCTACTCTCATCCTCTGTGTTATGTTGCATATCATTGTAATCATTGTAATCCCCTGCGATAAAAGTAACGAAATGATGGAGTTGTCATGATATGGAAACAAAGTTGTCGCAGAAAAGCGGAAAGCGAAGGTGGACAATTAACCGGTATAATATTTCAAGAAAAGTCGTATGCACAATCAGCGTTCGGATTTGCTCGAACAATTAATTCATCTTGCAGAAGCACTCAGAAATTTACAAGATGATGGTCACATGCGTATGTTTGTCATCCGTTATACGGATTCGAGGTTAGGAACGCTAAAGCGGAAGGGCGCGGTGAAATGACGGAAAATATCTTTACCGTGAAACGCGTATTTGGTCAGTCGCGTGTCCACGAAGCTCGCCGTCACGAAGACGCAGATCAGCAAACCGAGGACCAGCCGGGTCATCGTATTTTGGCCGCGAACGTGGGCAGGGAGAGACGTCAAACGTGACAAACGCAGCGAGTGGATCAGCTGACGTTTGCCATGCGCGCGTAGCTGTCCCTCTCGATCGATAACTCTCGATAACGCGCGAGAGTTCCCGGACTCGGGGGAGAAAATTTCAAACTGCGCCACTAAGAAGGAAATAACGAGCGATTAATGTGACACTCGATTAAAATACAAGAGGAGGCAACGAACAAATTTATTATTAATCGAGCCCGGCGTATTATTATTATTATTAACACCGGTATAAATTCACGCTTTTCCGCCGTGTAATTCAGCCGTCGCGTTAAAACGACCTTTCTTTGCGCGCACACGGTAAAATTGCGAGCTTCATTTCGAGGGATGATGAAAAATTTGCAATTACATGAAGAAAAACAGCAGTCGACGGGTGATATTCGAGTGAGCGCCCGTTTCAACAGCCCGGTTTCTCCTTTTTCCACCTTTTCCGTCGCTCCTTCCGGAACACCGTCGCGGGCAACGTCGCTTCGTCTCTCGTCATTAGCGCGGCGTGTATTGTAATTTCATTAATTACCTCGGCGGCGGCCGTGAGCGCCGTTTGATAGTCGCATCGACCCGCTTTCTGACTGTCCGCTATTTCCGGAAAGGCCGGCGGAAGCGCCGCGGTTCGTTTAATTGTGTTTGCAGTCTAATTAAACGCCAGGGCCAGAGATTCCTTCCGAAATTTATGCGCCTCATTTCATTTCTCCTCGCGGTCTCCTTTCGGTGCGCGTACTTTGCTTTAATTTTGTTATCGAATTACCACACACGGAGATATATGTAATATCGAGTTTGTTCGTTAATGAGTTCGACCGACTAATACAACGGGCGGTTTGAGCGCTTTCCCAGGGAGAGCCCTTCGCGATTCCCTCCTCCGAGAGGTATTGATCGAAGTAACAATATTAGTTAAACGTATACGGAAACATTCTCCGCCGACAAATTAAATACCGGTCAATTTAGGTCCGAGTTGATTTTCATTCCACTGCTTCGAGCTGTTTCATTCTCGTGCGAGAGGACGGGGAATATTGATGATTCGCGTGAATTCATATGATCGTACGTGAAAGGATACAGGGCGGGTTCGGGGAAACGGTATTAGCGCTGTTTAACGCTAAAGGCTGTTCGCGCAGCTAGAGGATAGTGCTAACGCAATCAAAACGTCACCAGTGGTAGAGCGCGTTACGTCATAACTGCGCGCTACAAACGCTGCTCCTTCCGAGCTGGTGCATAGAGAAAAAAAGTTCCTTTAAATTTATCATTAGAGCTCGCTTTCACGCTATTGGCCCCACGAACAGCATTAGTAGTGTTTGCGATTATAGCGCCGATAATAATGTCTCCCCAAAAGCACCCATATGCGCTGAAATATTTGTATGTGTTTAAATATTTTTGCGCTTTCACGCGGCGAGAAATAGCGCAAAATCTCCAGCCGGGTCAGGTCAAGGAAAGATCAAGTCGCTGGATATTTCAGAGGCAATTTTAATCTCAATATGCGCTCGCCATGCGGCTGAGGTCGCGCACTTCACTCCGACGGGTATTAAAAAGCGTGCGTAAATATTTTTTCACGCTGCCTGGACTCGCAGTCGACGCGAAAATTGCGAGCTGAAGTTACGCGGCGAGACCGTGGGCGTGTGTGGGGGGAATCGCTTAGGTATTCACAGCCGAGGGCCGAAATTGGACGGGAAAACATCCGTTAATGTAGCCGAGAACGTTATACGAGCTGTCCGAGCTGATAACGCGTCACCGGCGCGCCTATAAATCTAATCGTTTGGTGTTAATCGCCGGAACTGCGTAATGGCGTCATCGCGCGAACGAACGGACATCGCACAACAAGCGTACGAGACCTCATTTACGAAATTCGTACGACCGTGAGGGAAAATGCGGCGCGACACCCACGGTAACGCAGTTGTCATTTAACTGCAGTTGAAATCGCGCGGAAGGACCTTGGCAGTCGTGCAGAAGCGCGCGACGACGGCGACTTCTACGCGCGCGATGACGACCGGAGGATTGGAAAAAATTATTCTTTACGTTTGTCTCACGACATTGACCTTGCAAGATTGCGTACTACCCGAAGAAGGTCCGAACAAAGAGGTCGCGAAACGTTCGGTTTTAATATATTAAGATTTATGAAAATTAATTTGGCTAAGAATAGTCTTACGTTTTAAGGTGATGATAAAATTACTTATGAAATTGGACAAACACTTGTCTTTCACGGGAACAATCGTATTGTTTCATTGGCTACGAAGCGTCTAAAGATAAACTTAAAACGGTCTTAAATATAATATCTGACTAGAATACCGGCCTATAAAACATTTTCCAGTTAAGTATTGAATTATTTTAAACATTACCGGTATAATGTATATATATGTTTTCTTTCTTTAATAATATGTATAATTTATGCTTGATATATTAAAGGGCCAATTTCCCCTTAAATGGATGGATGAATAAATCAATAAGAAGTGAGAGAAACTACAAGACGGAATACCGTCGGGAACCCCGACGTGAATTATACGGAAGGCCGTGTGTAGAACGAGGCCTTGGCCGAAATTTCGCCAATTTTCCGAGAGTGTTCGTAAGTGAATGGCCGATGCCGGGGATACAGGAGGGGAGTAAAAATTCAATTGGTCCCCGTAGAGACATGTATCCAGGCGTGATACGAGAGGAGGCGCCGAAAGAAAGCGGCTCGGATGAAGGCGAAAGAAAAAACACAGGTCGGTCGAGCGATAGCGCTCGTGGGATGAAGTTACTAAAGTCGGTGCTTAACCCAAAGCACTTCCGATGTGCCACACAGGAGCTATTATACGAACGGGGCGGGGAGTGGATGAGGACCTTCTTCTTCTTCTTCTTGCAACCTGAGCATCGAGAAGGTTGGTGAACCCGTCGGATAATCAAGTCCGTATTCGAGGTAGACGACGTCATTCCGGATGATTCTCAGAGAACGACGCCGTTCGTTATAAAGTGGGCGACTTCTCGGAGGATCGCCGGATTTAACAATATCGAAAAACAAAAAAAGAGAGAGATAGAGAGAGAAAAGAAAATAGGCGGCCGAGTGCATAAAAATAATTCGACAAGCCGTCGACGCAGATCAAATTGAGGAATTCGCCAATTAAGGTCAGACCGAAATCATTTCTAAACATCTGTGTATAAAGCGACGTAATAAAATATTACCGGAATTACCGTTTACCGACGGTCTTTAGCAACTGCGGGGATTACCCCCCTTCTCGATGTGCAATCTTATCGGGGAGTGTTCCGGCAAAGTGCTTTTTATCGAAAAATTAAAGAGGAAAATCTATAGAGCAGTGAAAGTACATTGAACAGGAAAAATAGGGGCGGAAAAAGGCGAGAGGGGGGGGGAGCAAGAAAGCGAAAGGAAGGAGAGGAACTTCGCGCTTTTCGCCGAAATTCTGTTAATTGGCCAGCGACGAATAGAGCGTGGTTTGTTAATAATAATCCGCATCGGCGCGATCCATCGGTCCGTGATGCGCGTCAACGTGAGCTGTTATCGGGTCGGATACAGCGTACAGATAGTGGAAGCGAAGTACGGCTAAGCCCGCCGGCAACACGCCCACCTGGAAGGTAAATGAAAGATCAGCCGGAGCGCAAACAGTGGCTCGAGTGGCTATATCCGCGCTCGAGGGCCGGAATGTCAGCCGAAGTGATGATACCGTGCGTGTGCACGCGCAAAAAAAGAGGGTCGGAAAAAACAACAGGGGTGGTCAACCGTGGCACGTGATCACTTCGAAACTCCAAATATAGAGAAAGAGAAAGGGAGAGAGAGAGAGAGAGAGAAAGAGAGTTAAAGAGAACCACGAGTGTCAGAAATACAAGTCCCGGAGAAAGCTCGAGTTCCTCCGGGGATATTCCGCGCTCGATCGGAGGAGGAAAGGCAGAGGGAGATCCCCGTTTGCGTTTGTAGTCGTGCAATGTCGTAAATGATATCCGAGGTCCTTCGTATCTTGTTCTTATTGTATTGGGTTGTGTATTAAGTAATTTCGGATTTTTCAATATGAAGGCTGTCTCTTTGAAACGATTGCATTCAGATAGACATATAGATGCACTGTCAGCATCGTGACTAGCGTAAGTACGTTAACACGTGTCCTCAAGAATTTTGTCAGAGTATAAAAGAAGATCATCTGGTGCTGTGAACATTACTTACTTCGCCCGGAAGAGAACCGGAAGAGAACCCAATTAATCCGGAATTATTATAGCAATAAGGAGTCAATATTTTGATTGGAATTATAGCGTAATAAATGAGTATTTCTTAAAACAAGTATATTTTAAACACGATGTGCTGTTGCAATGGTATCACAAAGCATACATTTGCGTACTATGTTCAACGTTTCTCTCTAGCTGCGGTATTTTCATGTCGTAATTTTACGAAACAATGCATGAGCCATTCTGATCTACAATCTTCTGCTATCCGTAGCATGTATAATTGTTTCGTTATACCTGAAAAATCCGAAATCACTGATTGCAAAATCCGATATTCCCGGGATCACCGGGATATGGAACCCTTTCTGTTTGTCCTGGAAAATGAGCGGAAACGGTTCTCTTCGCATTCGGCTTCCCATTTACGGCAATTCACATTTAATCGCTCCACTCCAATTAGTTCGCTCCTCGGGTTGCAAATGACAGCGACGTGATTCTGCGCAGCTTCCGCAGGCTGCAAGCTATTCTCAAGCGACGTTATACCCGTCGACGTTATTGTTCGTCGACCTTTACATCTTGGTGAAGTCACCACGCGTCTGTCGGATACAGAAACGCGACCATGTTGACGAACGTCGCACGCACTGCGTGAAAATTCGTCCACGCGGATTTACGGCCATCCACGCGAGCCGGACGGCTTTCCGCTAACATTTCCAACGTATTTTCCAGCCATTGAGGGATTTGGCTACTTGGTTTCCGTGGAAATTCGTAAAAAAAAAAAAAGAGAATGCAACGTAAAAATCATATTATTTTCACGACGGTTTCACTAATTAAACCTCATTTAGTCCTTTGTGCGATTTTATTTTCGCAATCGATCGTTTCATTTTTACTTATCGACGAGAAAAAAGAGAATGAGTTTACTCTCCCTCAAACTGGTCGTTTAGCGCGATCTTGAATAGAACTCGGGTCTGCCTGAGGAGGTCGTGCGTGTATGAGTAAACGTTCGTAAAAAAAGGACGATTTACGCGGCTGCTGCCTGTTCACCCTCTTATTTCGGGAACGCTTGTTCTTCTCCAGGTCCTTTTATATACGTATATGCGCGATCCCGTGGTCTCAAAGACTCTTACAGAGTAAAGATGCATGCGTGACGCCCAACGACGAACGATGACGTGCGGCCAATATTGTCGAAGCGAGAGGGCAAACAGCGTTCGAGTGTTTGCTCCTGGAAACCGTTAACGCTCTTGAAGCCAGGTTTCAACCACGTTCGATCGACCGACGGATGCTAGCGTAATTTATACGGTGACGGGAGCGAACCGACCTGTCGGCTAAATTCCCCGTAAAAATTTGAAAAATTGCGCCGCGCGATGTGATGAAAAAGAACGGGTCCCGTGGAAGCGCGCGCTAAGCGGATCGCGCTTCATGCGTGCCCCAAACCCGTCATTTTATGCTTTTCTACCTTTTTCATCCACGTTCGCGCGAGTCCTCTTCTCGTGAAACGAGGAATTATTCAACGGGCCCGGCGAGATGATCCGCGTCCTTCGAATTCTCGCGAGCGCGGAACGCCCGAAAGCGACGTCCGCCGGCGATGAATGGCGGTGATTAAAATTATACACTGTGGCGTGTCGCTTTGATCCAATTTTTCGCGAGCGTTGTTCAAATACTCGCAGTTCGCCCGATCGTAAGTCGTAAGTTAATTTTCCGCGCTGTGGTAACTCGGCGATCGGCGCGAGACTCTCCCTCGACAACTACAAGCTTTTCTCTTCGCGCTTTAATGAATATCGGGGTAAAAATTCCCCGTTCAGGCTGACGCGCGATTGATTCTTTTTTCGGTGCTCCGCCGAGAAAGAAGGTCGTATGGCGAGGGGGTGTCGCAAGGCTTATAACGTTAAGTGGTACATCATGGCTGTTGTGACGACGAGGCGACGACGCATAATGTGCCTAATGAGATCAGGAGCGCATTCGGGCCGGCTGGCTCTTTCGAGACTCGGCTCGGCCGAGAAGCAGTATTGGCTTTTCGTGTACACGAGCTGCGCCGCGTAACACACACTGCGTCGGCCGCCCATAGACTCGGCGGCATGTCGTTTTTATGGATATAGCTTGTATTTCTTGCGGGGTTTATAAACGTGTAATGTAGTAGTTTCTGAGAGAGAGAGAGAGAGAGAGAGAAGGAAAATGAAAGGAGAGAACTCGATGACCGGGACAATCTTAGTTATAGAATACTAACGTGCGTCTCCGAGACGTAAATAATGTTTACAAATCTCCTCCTTTGTTTTACACTCTACCAAAATATGATTTTATATTTGATATTTTGAAAATATCCAGGATGTCAAAGAAATTATTCCATATTTATATAGTAGATAGTACATACATTATATATATTGAATATTGGCATCTTCTTCTTACGAGTCTCGAAAATTCCAGGTCTTCGTCGAATTACTTGACAAGCACGCTGGATTCGATTACGTAATTCTTCTAGTCGTTTCTCGGCGAAGAATACACTATGCTTTTCAAATATCTCCATAAAAAGAAATCAAGGGATTTAAATCAGGGGATCGATCGAGAAGGCCATGCGACTTGTCCACCACATCCAACCCACCTTTGACCGAACATCGTGTTTAAGTGCTCTCTCACATTACGCACAAAATGAGCTGGAGCCCCATCATGCATGTATCACATCGATAATCTTTCAGCCAAAGGCATATGCTTTAAGAAGGTGATGTATTCACCAAGAAATTGAGATAAGCGGCACCTGAAAGCTGATTTGGGAGTTTTGGCCAACGAGTGCCAACGAGGTTCCCATACATCGTAAAGATCGCATGCGACACGTAGAAGTCATTGTTTGAAACATTTGTCTTTTCCTTTAAATGTGTTGTTTTCGAGTTATTCAGAGATTCGGGTAAATTTCCCGCACCCTGTATATTAAGGTCTTCGAGTCTTCCTATTTACAATCTCCTACACTACACATCTCCACGATATGGGTTTAGGCACGGGGCAAGAGTAATAAATAATCAAACTCGCTGTCCTGACGGAACATGACGGACGAGAATCGCCATCATGCGTGCAAGGAAATGAACGAAGTTTAATTAACGCGTGTAAATCGAAATAGACGACCTTTGGCAGCGGGGAGCGGGTCGCCGAGGTGAGGAAAATGTGTGTTAAGGTCGTGTTCGTATAGAACGGGGACACTCCGCGCGGGCACTTTGCATTTCGTAACTGTGTAATTCATTCTATACGTATCCATAATTACACGTAGTGTACAGAGAGAACGGCGTGATACGACAGATGCACGCGTCTGTTTTTATTCACGCCGGCTTTCCAGCGACGCGTCGCATATTTGGGATTAATTTGGAATTTAATTTCGCGTTGTCTCGCGAAATAAAATGAATAAAATAAATATCGCCACGCGAGACACGCGCCATCGGTGGGAGGAATAATAATTTCGTTGGAATTCGCGATGAGACTGAAATTATCCCCGAAAGTCCGGGGATAACTTATTTATTCGATTACGTTCTCGGAAATGCGCGGAGGTAACGGAGATTTTCCGCCGGAAAGCCGATAGCCGATCGGCTGTTTTCGACGTTTCCGGGAAAATGAATGTTACTCTTCCGAGAAATTCGAAGAGCGCGTGCCCCCCGTAATGCTCATGTAATTTTGCTTGATAAATACTAAATTTGAGTGGCTCTCTTAATGCGCCACTGAAAATGCGACGCATCTTTAAGGATCAATGATGAGTAGTAGCGCGCTTTTTCATTGTCTAGTAAATTAAAAATAAGATCGGCCCTTCATGAAAATTCACGAGAAGGCCCGTCGCAATTTAAAAAATTAATCTGCATTTTCGGAGCGTGTAAGATTAGCGTTCTCGCTGCTCGTGAACCCGCGAAGCCGCCGAATGACTTTGTAATCGAGTTAACCCTTCTTCGCAAACTCGCTTGGGGAGGGAAAGGGGTGTCGAAATGCGTAAGAGAAACACCGTACCGCGAACGGGCGATTCGTTGGGAACATACTGACTGAAAATTAAACCCGACGATAAAGACGCGCGCGGCGTCTTTGTGGCCCTTTTTAATCAGGTATTTTACAACGGCATTTTACTGTTATCCACTTATTCTCCCTTTCGTGGCAATCGTGGGGCCTCCGTATCGCGCAGTTTCATTCGCGCCCGCTTGATTGCTCGCCAGTCAGAACGCCAGGAGAAAAACGCGCTAAAAGAGAAAGAAAGAGGGGAAGGGAGAATACACCGGCGGGATTTTCTTATCCCCCCTCGCCCCCACTCACTCATTCAGCGCGCAACGAGACCACGCGATCGATCTCGGCCTCGTAAATTATTTTACGCGCCGGAGCGGTTACTTGTTGCGCGAGGTCAGCGTACGTGACCGGTACGTGGGAAACGCAACGAGGAAATTTCGCAGGTCACTCTCCGGCGGAACGATATCTCCTGCGGCGTAAGAAAAAAGTGAGGGGGCGAGATTTTACCGGATGGATCCGGACGTTGCAGGACGCCGCCGGATGTTGCTGGGCAGCAACGTAGCGCTCTATTATTGTTTTGTTACTTTTCATTGCGTTATTGCGTTAATTCAGACGCAAATCGCGTTGGTTTTCGACGAGAAGGAGAATGAGAAAAAAGAGCAAAAAGGAGCGAAGGACGAAATTGAGCCCGCACCGAAAAGGAATGTGCGCGAATTAGGCTCCGTTGCATAACCAGTCAACCGACTGCCGCTCGTCTTTTTGTCGTCGACTCGTGATCGTAAATTACACGGTAGAATTGCTTCCCGCATACTCTGCCGTGCGAATGTGCTTCTCGCAGACCGTAAAATTACAAACGGACCTCGCCCGCTCATGAACGCGCGCGCACGCGCGTACGAATCACGAGCGCGGAAGTTGCGAAATTCCTCTCGCGATAATTTATCTCAGGTTGCGGTCAGTCTTTTCCGACGGCGATAAAAACATCGTAGTCCGGAAGGAAAACCGGAGGGAAATTCGATAAACCCGCGTCTCCCATCTCGATTCGGCGAGAGCGATATTTTCGCGGGCTGGATTCTTTTCCGATACCTCGTCGCCGTCCTCGTCGTCGTCCTTCGTCTCTCAGAATCGCACGAATTCACCTCTCTCGCGCCGAACAAACAGTTTAGTTGAATTTACCGTAAATGGACAAACTCGCGCGGGAAAAGTTAGTTGTGTCCATATAATACAATTGAAATTCAGTTACCAGACCACAGTTTATATCTGTGGAAGTTATAAACCAAATGTAAGGTAACTCCGGTATATACGCCGCATCTAAGGGAAACCTAATTTATCAAGTATCATTTGTTATCTTTAAGGCAAATGAGAATTATACAAATAAAAACTGCATATTGTGTGCTACTAAAAAAAAGAAAAAAAAAATGTAAATTTTTACTTTTCGTATTTAACAGAAAAACTTTCAGAAACTCTTGTATTTTTGCCATATATATCCCATAGGGGGGAAGAACTTCCGTTTCCCTCATAAAGAATGCTTTCGGTTTTGCGTCCGTTCCAGCGTAAATTCAAGCGAACTGTCTTTTCGGTGCGCGCTTTTGCGGGCAGGATCGTTGTGACGGGTCGGTCGGAGTGCGAAGGTCACACGCAATACGTAATGCACACAGTGTAATTATTCATTCGTTCTTACACATTTCATGTGTACGCACACGAGTACAAGCGTTTCGAGTTCGATTAAAGCAGAGAGAGTGGCTCGCGCGTTCGTCAGCTCTCGCAGAAGCACCCGTCGCGTCCTGGAACGGGATCGACAACACAGAAGGCCGCTGGATCCAGTAACCTCCTCGTCGTTGTCGGTCAGTCCTTTGAACACGTCCGAGGTGGGCGCATTAATTTCTTCTATCTGGCACGCAGGCTACGGCGATCGACATCGGCTTCAGCCGCCACTTGTGACGGAGGGCCTCCGGAAGTGGGGTTTCCTGCAGTCTGTTTTCGTCCGAGTCGTGATCATCGTTTAATCCGCTCAAATCACGTTGGCTCAGCACGTGAACCTGCGGAGGAGACGAAAGAATGCCGCGGAATTATTACAGACGACTCCCGGCTCGTTTGGCATTAACGGTTCGGCCGATTTCTTTTCTCCCAACACCGATCGTCGATTCGCAATCCTCCCCCTATTATGTACGGTAAATGAAAACAGAAAAAAGAATTATTCATTCTTCTAAAAAATAATACATAGCGTGTATATTTGCGCTCCTTTTCACTCGGCGAGCAGCTGCGTTTCCATGTTTTTTTCTAACTTGAGCGAAATTTTTCCCGCTGTTTTCCCTTAAGCGTTTTCAAGGTGTGCGCGATGAGGATCAAAACAAAGCCGGAGTGGCTTAACATGAACTAACGTGTACTCGCGGAACGCGCAGTTAATGTAATCGTGACAAATGTAAAAATCACCCGGCGAAAATGTTAATGACGTTTCGTGCGAATAATCCCCGGTAATTAACGTCGTGCGTTACAGGCGATGTTAGGAAGCGGGGGAATCGTCGCGATGCGAAACAACAATCGCGAGCAGTCGCGGAAATGTCGCGACGTTAATTACCGAATTCGTCGAAGCGGGGTTGTGTTTGGCTGTATTCGCATAATCAGAGTTCCACGCGCAGTCGCACTTCCAAAACGCGATTAAACAAGTGCCCGGCGTTGCGTAACCGCGACCGCCATTGGTGCGCGTCAAACGATCATTCGGTAACGATTTGTCGCGACGAATATTCATTCCCGAGGCGAGAAGTTCTTGGTGTTTAATAAACCGAGAGAAAAAGAGAGAGAGAGAGAGAGAGTGTGTGAGAGTGTGTGAGGAAGAGTAATAAATAGAAAGAGAAAAGAGGGAAATGGAAAAAAGAGAGAGAGAGAGAAGTGTTTATTATAATCTTAGGGCAGGCTCTTTAAAAATTTAATATATACATATAAGTGATAAACATATCGATGAATTTACAACAATAGAAATAAGGTTGTTATAAATCAATTACATAAGCGGATTTAAAATAAAAGAAAGAATGAGAGAAAAAGAAAAATTCAAAAAGAGAAAAAATCGTAGTTAATAAAAATTATTATTAGAAAGAAAGAGAGGGAGGAAAGGAGAATGAGAGACAAAAAGAGAGGAAGAGGGAAAGAAAGAGAGAGAGAGAGAGAGTGTGTGTGTGTGTGTGTATGTGTTGTTCGTAGGTCGGTGTTAATCAAAATTGTGTGTACTCGCACAATGCTCGACAACCACTTAACCGTACTGCGCGACCCGCAATCCACTACTTCGCGGATTATCGATTGTCACGCGATCTTACCATGTAGTACAGCAGCCGACAGGAATTGAACTTGCTCTGGCAGGCTTTCGACTTGCAGTGCGATACAGTTAAGTATCTCGGATAATGTCCCTCACCCAGATCCCTCACATCGTACTGCGTCTCGCAGTTGCACAGAGACTGTAAACAGTTTTATATCGTTATAGTTGCATCGCCTCGCGTCACGAGCGATTTTCGCACGCGCGGCTGTTTATGCACGTTAATCTGCGGGAAATTGCGTGCGCGAGAGAGTCGGGCCGCGAATTTAATCCGCCGTTTCGCGACGAGGTGATTACACTGGTCAGCACAAAAATCGCATCCCGAATCTGAACCGTCAATTCTATTTAATTTCGCGACGATGTGTGATTTCAGATAGAAAGGTAAAAAATTGAAGCTTAGCTCTAACTTCCGACCATGTGGTAAACAACGATCGAAATCAAATTCAATCAACGCGAGAGAGATCGAAGCAACGACGAAGAGAGTCTTTCTCCGCGCAACGGAATGAATTAATTCAATAGAACAGCCGCGCGAGAACGAAGCCATGTTTAATGAACACCGCTCGTCCGCGATATCTCTTTGACGGGAGGTAGATCTTTCGCGTATTTTACGAGCTTTTACGAGCTTGCTGCTTTTTTCGCAACTGACAGTCATCGTGGCGCTCGTACGTAGCGATTTACGCGGAGACCGTGAAACAACCACAGGTAATGCAGCAAAGCAGATTTCATCGCGTATTGTTTATGGAACTCGTATCGCGTTTAATCGCAGCCACTGCGTGTTCCATTATCGCGAATATATCAACGCAATTTTCTCTCGCAGCTCCGATGCGTTAGCGGAAAAAAGGTCATTATGTACGGTCGCGATTGCCATTCCGTGGAAATCGGGTCGTTCTTTGCCGCTGAAATTCGCTTAGCGATCTGCACACCGGAATCACGCTCTCGCGAAAGCCACCGTGCGTTTTAACGGTAATCCGGAGAAAATAATCATTTGCGCGCACATTTTGTAAGGTTAAAACGCGCGAGAACAGAGACGCGGAAATCTGTACAACACGACGAAAAGTCGGACCACCCGCGGGAAATCCTTATCACGGAAATAGCGCGTTCACGAGCACGTCGTTTTATTCGAACGAAGAAGACAAACTTGAATTCTCACGATACGTTCGACCCCCGAGTCGAAATCTTTTGATGCTACGAGGAGATAAGTAATTTTCCCGTTACACGGGAATCACACATGGTTGTTAATGCATATTCGTTGCGACAGCAATGAAATTTCGTTGGCGTAACCGAATTAGCGAATTACTCGTAATTAGAGCGGAAACAGTTTTGTCGTCAGGATGGAAGATATTTTACCGAGTGAATTGAGTCCTTAGGATATGTTAATTTGTTTTAGATACGTTAGAACAAAATTGTGTTTTCCATTTACTAATTTGTTCTCACGGCGAGATAATTTGTAGATTAAGTGAAATAGAAAATCCAATAGAAAATGGTAATTAGTATTCTTAACAAATCGTTTCGCTATCCATACGATAATCGAAAGATTTTGCTGCAACAGCATAAAATTTGCCGAGCAAACAAATTCTTTTTCTCCGTGTACTTTGACGCTCTTAAGGATAGTTTGCGCTTACTTAGATGACCTATGGACTACTAATGAAAATCTATCTTGACGACACTGACACTTTTAACTTCCTCCTTGAACCTTTACTTCTGCAGATTTAATTTGGATGTCGCTTTGAACGACCTATTTTCGCGCTAAAACAGCGAGAATACATAATCAGCATTAAAATAGGAGCAAACTGTATTACAATGGAAATTTAACTTATTTTAGCTATCTTAGCTCCCGCTGCGTTGCAGAATTAAAAGTCCGACGTAAGGCTAAAATTTCGACTCGGGACTCCCGTCTACAGACGTATCTCGACGCATCGGCTCTCATCGTCGCGAAAGTTCAACGTCCCGGTCGCGAGACTAATTTCAACAAATTAGAATTTACCGAGACAGCGAGGCACCTAACGACGCCGTTCGTTTGCGAGGAAAACACGGGGAAAGGGAGGAGGAAGGAGGAAGAGCGTGGAAAGAAGCCCGGCGGGAAACCCCTACTAATTATGCAAACGTACTCTCGTTACGAGACGCGGCTGCAGACCGACGTCCTCCGCGCCGGCGATCCGTTTAACCTGCTCGGCGAACCCCTCGGGACGGTAGCTGCGCTTCTCCCCGTACATGGAATTCCGGTTCGCCCCGGTGATCTCCTCGTCGCCGAGCAGAAAGTCCGGCGCGACGACCTGCTCCTTCCAGTGACCGATCGACAGCACTTGCCCCGGCTCCTCCGCTGACAGACCGTGCACCATCACCTAATTCCACGCCGCCAGACGTGTTTCGCAATTAGAATAATCAGCGCGACCGTCGGATTTACGAATTCCCGTTATCGTGTGCGACGAGAGCCGCTGACTAAGGCCCGTATTATAATATAATAGCGTCGTTACTTGAAGTTTACTCTCTAAAATGGCACCCAGTGTATTATCACTGAAAAACAGTGAATTCAGTTGTAGCGGTGTAGCACTACGATTGACGAGATCTCGTTGAAAGAATTTCGTTAATAATAGCCAGTGGAATATTGCAGATTTTACGGTGAAATCCCACTTTCACTAGTCAAAAACAGTGAGACGTACACTGAGGGAAATCTCTTAGTTGGCAGGACAAAAGCTCTTTTTGTTCATTTGAAGATCTATTAGGGAAACAGATCGAAGAGTTATTTTATGATTTGAATTATTTCGTGATCTCGTAGGAAAACAGATCGAAAAGTTACTGGTGCTATATCTATGTCATTTATCGTCAAAGCAAGTGAAAAATATTAATTATTTGCTCCCACTACAGGACCATCTGTTGTTCCAGCGAGAAATATCTGCAAACTATTTGTCGCGAGCACTGATGCCTTGATAAATTAATCGAAATTTTTCTCTCAATGTAAGATTATAAGGAGGATGCAAGTGGAAGTATTTCTACTAAAGATCAATGTACTCACTAATATCGGTGAAACATATTTTACTGGTTTAATTAGAAACGTTATCACTGATCCATTTTAAAAGAGCGAGAGTACTCAGATGAGATTCTCAGATTTACTCAGATTTAACTTTAAAATTAGACGTGAATTCCTCGGTTAAGCTGCATTAAAAAATGCCGTATATATTACACGACTCAAATAAAAACTCAAATCTAACTCTAAACTCAGACCTCACGCGGGATAAGTTTCAAGTAACAAGAATACTCTTCGCCGAAAGTCTCGATCGTGATTTCAACGACGTGCGATCTACGAACGCAGAATATTCTTCCTTTTTTTAATTACACTCATGCAATATAATTAATGATTTCGCTCGCGATTTCTCGGGGATTGGTCGCGGAGTCGGTCGTGTAGAAATTACAGCCGCGGAGATTGCAAAAGACGGCACGCGGTGAAAACGCTATCTATCTTCGTCTGATGTATCTTTCATATGTTTTGCGCCAAAGTTAAAGCGAAAACGAGTCGGAATGACTGCGTTTGCACGGGCACATATAAAGTATAATAAATTACGAGCCGTAGATGGAGATCGATTGTGAATCTTTCTCTCTCTCTCTCTCTCTTTCCTTCTGACGTATATCTCTCCGATGATGCTTACACACAGTATAAGGAGCTTCATCCTTCCCGGGGAAGAAGACGATCGTCTCGCACGAACCACCGTCGTATACTGGTCACTCATCTCTGATATTCGCTCCTTATATACGAAATTATGAAAATAACAGAACGAGCCCCATAGCACCGCTGTTGTGATAGGTAAGATCCCATTACACCGTCGCGCGAAGATGCCATTAACGCCACTCGATATCTATCGAGGGGTTGCGAGGATCTCAGCGGCCTTTGTTCGCCGCGTGTCACGCAGTTTGCTCTCTTCCCGCCGCCCACCCTCGCTCTCTTTCTTCATGTCCATTAAATAAGAATATTTTCCCTGGAACGAGAAGGGTTTTCGCCCCTACTTCGCAAAAGGACGTCCAATACCGCGGCATATAAGGGTGCCGTCGCTTCCATTCGGAACATTCGCAGCGCCGATGCGCGCACGACGACGATACGGCCGCGACGTCGGCGAACATAAAGCTCCGATTTTGCGCCACCTGTCCCGTGCGACTGTTTTATCATCCCGGCGCGAAGCGAAGTGCGTTAATAAATTACGAAATACGTCCGGGGCGGCGAACCAGCGAGAAATCGGATGGTCTCGGGAACGCAAATCTCGCCCCAGGACCGCTAACATCACCGCCAAGTCGGAGAACTCGATCATTGCAGATCCGACAATTATATTTCCGACTCCGGTGTGTGTTTTTCTCTCCTCTCTCAATGATCCGCGAAAAATCGGATTGACGACTCCGTCGTTCATTTTCTCGAAAACGCACGGCGTTCTTTCGCTGAAGGCGCCGAAGGACGCGATTGAAGACCCGAGTCGAAATTTGGATGTTTACTTTAACGTTCTGAAGAATAATTTGCGCCCATTTGGCCTACATAGAGAAAAAGGTTTCTTTGAAGTCAGTATATGTGTTTGTTTTGACTTACTTTAACTACATGATTAGCTACACTAAGTTTTAACAACGTGGAAATACACCGACTTTGCTCTCTCTCTCTCTCTCTCTTTCTCTCTCTTTTTCTCCGCAGAATTGTGTCAGTATATAGAACAATACACGAAAATACCTTTATCACCTTGTGCTACACAGTGAGAACGCGTAGTCCCCCGTGATCGTGTTACGGAATCGGACCGACATGTGTTGCGTAAACGACTCTCACATCGGCCGCTAATCCCTCTGTCCCGGCGAAAGGTCGTTGAGATTAACTCGGATTTCTTGAGCACAACGAAAAAGGGAGATCGTTAAAATGACATTCGTTGTTTTTCGTCTCGCGGCCATGAGAAAGAGAGTCTCCGAGAAAGAGAGAGAGGAGACGAGAGAGTCAGTAATAATTCGTGCCGTTCCACACGATTCATTGAATCAATTGAGGTCCTCGAGAGATGATCCGACGGCATATACAGCGATGATACTAGATACAGAAGACTCAGGGCAGCCTGTATAGCTACACGCGCTACGCGTGACGAGCCTCCCCAATTTTCGGCGTAATTGAATATTATTAGGTTTCAATACCTGGCCTACGTGTCGCGCATCGTGACGGGTTTTTTCTTTCTCTATTTTCGGCGAGGGAAAAAGGAGGAGCCCCGTGCGACGAGGCTAATGTGCGCGAGATGTAATTTACCTCGGGATCCGTGGGGGTATACAAGAGAGACACTCGATCGCGAGTGGTTGCGCAAACACGAACCACTTCGGAATATTCGCTGGTCATGGCCGCGTGAGGCGAAATAAATTTTTCGACAATTGCTATTTGATATTCTCACTACGTTGCGTCGCGTTGTTGTGTAAATTTCATATCTCACACAGGACACAGTCGTCGTCGTTGCGCCATCCCCTCATGTCGCGCCTCTTAACGCACAGACGATGCACACGGGCGCACGCAACTTTCACGGCCGCCAAGAATTATTTTCCGCACCAGATACGGACGAGAGCAGGATCGATCGCAAACACCTGCATCGCTCGCCCCCTCGCGGTTCGCGGTTTTCACGCGTATATATGCGTGCACGGGATCGTCCGATCAGCCGTCGCTTCGCGATGAACGAAATGTCACGGGCGCACCGATGACCTTTCCCAGATTGTCACATGTCAAGTTGCCGTTATCTTTCTCTCCCCTCTCTTCCCTTCTCGCACAAGATTTGGAAACTGTGTACTTTGTTATGTAATGAGCTTCGTACATACTGAAAATTCACTTCTCGATTAATTTCAGTCGAGAATATATGCATCTCGCGACGAGGAGAATTTTATGTAACAACTGAGAACTTCACTCCGACAATATTTGCAAGAGGACAAATAATGTTGCCAGGATAGGAAATATTCGGAGTGTCTTTAGAACACGTTAATTTGCTGTCAGAACAAAATAATGTTTTCCTACATTTACTGATTCATTCTCAGCAAAATAATTGTTTGAATTTGGCAAATATCTCATTTGGATCAAGCAATATTTACGTAATCCAAATAAATTATCTGATCTAACTAAATTATCCAAATAAATGACTTACTTGATCCGAGAAAAAATTTGCCAAGAAGTGTCGGAGCAATTATTTATCTAAATCTAGTACTTCTTTTCTGTGTGGTATTGTTAGTCTTTCGCCGAAAGATCGTCGAAAGATCCGGCCTCGTTTCACAAAATGTTATTCCATATACGCGCCAAGCAACAGCAATCAATTACAATTCGGAAGTTAACGAAGCGAGCATGGACACGTAGACCGTCGGATAGAAAAGACGACCTCGGCCGAAACCGACGGTCGATCCTTCGGATTCCCCAGCAGGATTGCGCCCAAATGTTGCGAGTGTATCGGGCGTTATTGAAGGTCCCGGTCCGATCCTGATCCTCGAAGCGCAACGAAGAGAAGCTGTCCGCTTCGAGGACGCTGGATGAACCGGCGCTGTTAACCCCTTAAGTGATATCAGGCTATATTACAGCGCGACGCTTATCTCTCGATATTAATCTCTCTCGCGCTGGAAACACCATTTTGACGCGGGCTGACGTTAATTGATGCGTTTATCGAAAAATAGCTCGCTTCTCGCTCGCGCGACGATCGCTAATGGTCAGACGCGCGGAGTTTTGATGGATGAAACATTTGTTAAGCGTTTATCCGTCTAGATTACTCGCGACATTTTACACAGCGCGAAGGAGAGGCTCCTCGGCGGTGAGGATCTGCAAATTCATCAGAGCGATGTTACAAGCTGCGCCGAGAAGAAAGCTAATCCTGCGGCATTTTACCGGGCGAACCGTCGTGGACGACAGAGATTTTCTCGTCTAGACTTTTACCTCAATCAATTTGCGCGACGCAAATTGCGAGGAAAGAATGATCCGCCTCCTTTGTCGCTCGGGAGGACAGTTCCTACCGCCGGTTAGAAAGACGTCTCGCTTTGTCTCGAATAACCTCGATCATACTTAGACGATAATTAACTCCTTAACATCGAAACATTCCACAAAGTATTAATTTCCCGTCAGCTTCTTCTCGAGGAACGACAGACTGAGAGAAAAATATTTGATACTTGTAACACCATAATCGTCACAGTGAGAGAATTATAGTCAGGAGAACTATTTTAGTGAGAAAGATTTTTCTAATAAATGTTAAGCCGACATCACACGATATGGTAAATGTAGGCGAACGTCGAAAATTATATTGATCATGTTGTGTTAATTGTGTTATATTATATTACATTTGTTATATTATCACACACGTATGTTACGTTCGCTCAACATATGTGATCAATATAATTGCGAACGTTCGCCTACGTTCGTCTACGTTTGCCGCATCGTATGGAACCGACTTAACTACACGACAAAACTGATTTGGTAATTTCCGTAATTCACATTTACATGAACAGCACAAAACCGGTTTGACAATTTCCGTGGATGTGATTATCGATGTTATACATCGTATAAATAATTATGTTATACCTATATTGTATGATATGTATAACTCTAGTAGTTGCACTATCAAGACATATCGCATCGATTTTACGCTGGTAATAACCTTACATGCATGTTGCTACCCTTATTATTGCGCTCAAGACCAGAACTGGGTAATAACTAGTTACTCAGTTACTAGTTTAGCTAAAAAGCTAATAACTTTTAACTTAATTTTTAAGTTAATTTTAAATTTTTAATTAATTTAACTAAGTTAATTTTTTGAGCCATTAACTTTTAACTTAAAATAATAATTAACGTTCCCAAATCCTGGTTGAAATCATAAGAGTTTAGTCGAGGCTGAAAATAATTTCTCTTCATGCGGAGTCAACCAGAGATCCATAAAAGAGAAGGAATTCTGAAAGAAGGAGGAAGGTGATCCCCCCTCGATTTATTCCGGGCCTAAAAACCGAGGTCGCCGGTAATCTCGGTCGAGGGAAAATTTCTTATCGCGCCGTATGTTGCAGTTATCGGGCTCTTATCGTCGTTACGAAGAACGGACTGGTCAGCGTCTCGCCGGAAAACCGCCCCTCGAAATTATGCGGGCGAGAAAGATCGCGCGGTCCTCACCGACACAAGAAAGAAACACGGGAACGTGGGAGTCGGTGGATAAATGCAGGTGTCGAGTTTTACAACGGGAGCGAAGTGTGTGCCTAATCGTCCTCGAAGTGTACGCGTCGCGACGCGCTCGCGTCTGCGCGACGTTCCTGCGCCCCTTCCTGACGGGGGCGAGAGAGAGAAAGAGAGAGGGCGAGAGCGCAGCCCCTCTATATATTTCATGGGAGCACGAGGCACGGGACACTCCACGCGTTTTTCACGACGTGAGCACCAGCTACGACAGTCCGCTTGACGACTGCAGACCGCGGCCGGTGTCAGTTTCACCTGGAGAACGAGCCCACGGTGTTTACTCCCGGTACCAGGTACCATCGTAGACGCGGCGCAATGACGAGGGGCGCGTTTCCCGGCTCATCGATCGCGATCGTCGCCCTCATCGGCGTGGCCGCTTACGTAGTGGCCGGACCCGTTCAAGTAAGATTCCTCTTGTCTCTCTCTCTTTTTTTTTTTTTTTTTTTTTTATCCCAACGACGACGAGTCGTTTTACAAATCGTTTCACTGGATCAGCCGAACGGCCCGGACGAATCTAATAACGCGCGTGTGAAAAACAAACGCGTCCTTTCCGAAACTTGAAATTCTGCTTAAAATAAGTTCCCACTTGTAGCATCGAAGGGGCGCAATAAGTGCTCCTTTAATGCCGCACGAAATTTTCTATATTACTACATAAGTGGGAAATACGGTAATAACTTTCCGATTTACAGCACCAAAGAAACACAACGGGAGATCTTTGAACACTTAAGTAGAAGTAAATTAAACTTAAACTAAGATAGAAGTTTCGACTCGGGTCAATTATTCATTCCTCTTTCGTATTATTCGCGCCACCTTTGCTACCGAGGGAAAAAATTCGCGAGATTTGCATGTGGATTTAAGTGTGTTCTCACTTCATGCGCCGATCGTCGTTTTCTCCTTGCGACGTGAGCGAACGCAGATAGTTTATACTAACGAATATTTGATGCAGACGAGACATTTTCACCGTTTGCTGCGCTTGTTCATCGCTCGTTCGGCAGCATTCGACAAACGTCGCACGAATCACACTTCCGCGTGTCGGTGTGCATGCGAACGGAATTTCAACGAAAACCCCACGCAACGTCTTCCTGCGGCGTAACAAAAATTCGATGCATAGTAAAGAAGTTCTCGAATATTTACTCGTTGCCGCCTTCCTGGCGAGAGCAAAATAAAAAATTCGGACCAATTTGCAATTTTTGCACCGGAAATTCTCTCTTTTTTTCTTCAACATGTTGCGCGCGAGATGGGTCTCGCGCTCGGAAAGCGTATCCACATGACTGTGTGCCCGGGACGAACGCGCGACATTTTTCTCGTCACACCGTGTCGGAAGTATGAAACCTGTTAATCTTGTTGTCGATAATTAAACGCGGAAACTACGACAATTGCAGGGTTTGGAAGGCGAGCGCGTGTCAGCCACGCTTGGCAATTGCAAATAACAGCTCGCTCGCAAGCCACGCCAGAGCTGTTTGCTTATTTGTTGATCTCGACAATTGCGCATTATGTAGCACACGAACGGAGATTGAATTGCGTGTGACTTCGCAACGACATCGGTATCGCAATTAATTTCGTCGCTGGCAGTCGGCATGCACGGACGCCGGCTCGCGAATTGGACGATAATAAAATCCACACGCGACATTCATTAACATTATTATCTTAATACCATTAGTAATTCGCTCGTCGTTAATTAACGCGTTGTTTATTGACGTGATTGTTCCAATATGAATATCATATTGCTTGTTATTGCGTCAATGCCGCTCACGCAGATTGCAAACACACCGAGTCTCATTACTTTACGATGATAGTCGATACCTCGCACCAGGTTGCGTGCGACTTTTACGTTTATCGAGCTCATTATCGAAAGGTCCGGTTCAATTTTTAAATCCAATTTGTAACTTCATCGTGTTCAATGAAAAAGGAATTATTCGCCAATCGAATGATTGTTGACCGTCGTACTTTTTCGCGAACTCTCGCCCACGTTCCACGGCGATATTCGTATGCACTTCGTATCGTAGAGGGTGGCTTATCGACGAAACAGGCATTAAAAATATTCAATTCGATCTTCAATATTTAATATTCAATATTTTTAAAAACGTCAATGTCACACGCACAGTTGGACAAAAATTACTCTCGACCGATTAATTCGCGTGCACGGGATAATAAGCGTTTCCGGCGACAAGCGGTGACCGCGCGATCGAATTGCCGAAACTGTCGTGCATCAAGGGAAGACGGGAGGGAGGGGG